GCAGAAAACAGGAGGTGAGCTTGGGTCTCCGAGCACTTGAAGTCAGCGCGTGGAAAGAGAGAGAACAATGGAAGTCTTGGAGCTTTGTAGCCTGGCCTGCTCCATGGGGGGGTCTACCTCAGGTCTCCCCTGAGGAGAGAGAGGTTCCGGTCCCCCCTTACTTCACGCGTAGGTGTGAAGTACCGCAGGGGATTCTGGGATTAAGAGTCCTTTTAGGCCTCTTTGTGATCTCAGTGAATAACTCAAATGAGGTTTTTACAGAGGTGCAGGCCCAAGTTCAATTCAATTTCATGGCAATGTTCTGGCAGGCCGTCAACCAACGATCTTGAGGAGCCTAAGAGAGCTCAAGAGCTCTCAGGAAAGTAGGTGGTTAGTGACTGAGATTTACAGATAGATACATGCAGTAATATGATGTACTGTATGCACAGAGAGAGAGAGAGAGAGAGAGAGAGAGAGAGAGAGAGAAAGGAGCTCAAGGTGCCAATTCCCCCGGTAGTCTAAGCCTATAGCAGCATAACTAAGAGCTGGTCTACACCAGCACTAACTATAAGATTTATCAAAAAGGAAAGTTTTAAGTCTATTCTTAAAAATACAGACTGTGTCTGCCTCCCGGACCCCGGCTGGAAGACGATTCCAGAGGAGAGGAGCCCAATAACTGAAGGCTTTACCCCCCATGGTACACTTAGAGACTGTAGGTACCACCAGCAGGCCTGCACTCCAGGACCGCAACGCTCTCGAGGGACAACACGGCACTAGCTACTTAAGATAAGATGGTGCCTGGCCATTTAGAGCTTTGTAGGTGAGAAGAAGGATCTTGAATTCTATTCTAGACTGTATAGGGAGCCAGTGCAGAGAAGCCAGGACAGGAGTGATATGGTCCTATTTCCTGGTTCTGGTCAGTACACGAGCTGCAGCGTTCTGGACCAGCTGAAGAGTCTTCAGAGACTTGCCAGAGCACCCTGACAAAAGAGAGTTACGATAATCCAGTCTGGAGGTAACAAATGCATGAACTAGTTTTTCTGCATCATTTTGCGACAGGATATTCCTGATCTTGGATATATTACAAAGGTGAAAATAGGCTGTTCTTGAAACTTGTCTGATGTGAGAGCTAAAAGTCCTAGATTCCTAACAGTGGTGCTAGATGTCAGGCTGATGTCACTAAGGACAGTCAAATCACTAGAAAAAGTCTCTCTGAGGTTCTTAGGGCCTAGCACAATAACTTCAGTCTTGTCTGAGTTAAGTAGCAAAAAATTTCTGGTCATCCAGGTCCTAACGTCCTTAAGGCACGTTTCTAGCTGACATAACTGACTGGTGCCATCGGGCTTCATTGATACATAAAGCTGAGTATCATCTGCATAACAATGAAACTGTATGGAGTGTTTCCTCATAATATTTCCCAGAGGAAGCATATATAATGTAAAGAGAATTGGTCCAAGCACTGAACCTTGTGGGACTCCATGGCAAACTTTAGTGTGCATAGAGGACTCATCATTAACATGTACAAACTGAGATCGGTCTGATAAGTAGGATTCAAACCAACTTAAAGCAGTCCCTGTAATTCCAAGCAAATGCTCCAGTCTGTAACAGGATCCGATGGTCAATGGTGTCAAAGGCAGCACTAAGATCTAACAAGACGAGAACAGACAGAAGTCCCCTGTCTAAAGCTAGAAGTAGATCGTTTGTAACTCTAGTAGCTAGTAACTAGTGCAGTCTCAGTGCTATGGTGGACTCTAAATCCTGACTGAAACTCCTCAAATAAACTGTTGTCATGGAGAAAGTCACACAGCTGTTTAGCTACCACCTTCTCCAGGATTTTCGAGAAAAAAGGAAGGTTGGATATAGGCCTGTAATTAGCCAGAGTTCCTGAGTCCAGAGTAGGCTTTTTAAGTAGAGGTTTGATTACCGCTACTTTAAATGGGGTACATAGCCTGCCAGTAGAGACGAATTGATCATATCTAATATAGAGTTGCTAACTAAGGGAAAAACTTCCTTAAACAGCTTGGTTGGGATTGGGTCCAAAAGACAGGTTGACGGTTTCGACGCAGAAAAAATGGAATATAGCTCAAGTCCCAAGTCCCAGGCCCAAGTCCATTGTTTGACTGTCCTAAGCCTGCATGGCCCAACAATACAAACCTCTGGATAGGGAGCAACTGAGCAAAAAAATAGCCTACAATACTGGCAATAAAAGTTTTACTAACCACTTTACTAACCAGTTTCCGAGTTGTTGTTCTAACTTGAGTAGGCATTCATTTGCATTTTCCTACTCGGAAACTCATTTTTCCGATGTGTCAGATACCAAATGATTGCAGGATTAGAGCTATTTGTGTTAAATCATTTATAATAAAGGCAGCCTGAGGGGTAAGTGTATCATGATTTGAAGAAAAGTAAGTGCACACTTTTCATGTTTTGTTGGTCAAGTTTAGCCAGCAGATTTGTATTCATTGTTCATGAGACTGCAATTCTTATCATTTTAAACCATATATCTACACTTTATATTAATTTGTTTGATACACTTCTTCCCTTGGCATTTTTGCTTGTACCAGTATTCCTTCATGAATATTAGAATAGCAACCCTGCCACAGACCATTACACTAATCAAAAACACTCTGATTTTTTTCTTTTTAATTATAATTGTCAAGTTACTTTAGTAAGACGGGAGCCCGTTGATAATTGGGACTCCTGAGTCTGATGAACTGCCACCAGCTGTACTGGGTTTAGCTTGGTGCCTTGATTGCATCCTGCACAGAGACATGAAAAAAAAGACATCCTGTTGCTTTAGAAAAGGCATAAGGAAATTATATAAGGTTACAAAGTCTTATGGGCTTTTATGATAATGATAATGATCAAAGAGAGGCAGCAGTTTTTGTCAGTAGAAGAAGGTTCCTGGAGACAGAGCCTCTCTGTGTGAAGTTTGCATGTTCTCCCCGTGCATGTGTGGGTTCCCTCCGGGTACTCCAGCTTTCTCCCAAAGTCCAAAAACTTGCTTATTGGGTTAAATTGTTGACTTTAAATTGTCTGTAGGTGTGACTGTGAGTGTGACTGGTTGTTTTTGTTCTGCCCTGTGATTGACTGGCGAGGCAGTACCTTGCTTCTGACCTAATGACAGCTGGGATCAGATCCAGACCCCCACGACCAGGGAATAAGTGGTATAGATAATTAGTGGATGGATGGATAAAATACAGGCATAATACAATCAAAAGAGAATAGTGAAGCAAGCTACACGTTCTCTTTCTGTGCCGGCTGATAACAGAAGTCTTGCACTGTGTCAGGACCAACACACTCACTGTATTTTATCTCAGCTGCTTTCCATCCGTCCCAGCTGCCTTCCTTCCGTCCCAGCTGGTGCCCTATGCAGAGCTTCACATACGAGGGCCAGCTGTGTTCTACCTGCTCCATTTCACAAATCTGGGCAACACAACTTGTTGTGATTTGTTAGGATAACCTAGTTACAAACAGATAATTAAAAAAAAAAACATCAAAATCATTTATAAGGAAACTAAGAATTCAAGGAGGAATGGAGGTCAGAATGCTAAAAAGAAATGGCTAGGTGAGGAAGACTTGCATGGGATTCTTAAGGAAGCTAACTCTGGGTGTTGGGTGGTTGAGATTAACAGTGATGTCAGGAAACAGGATACCATGCCTTCCTTTGTTTTCTTTTAAAATGCAGAGGCAAGGCTAAGGTTACTTCCGGATTTCTGGTTGGGTCCTCAAACACTTCTTTGAAGGCGAGATGACTTTTGGCTAGCAGACAAGGAGACCAGTGTAGTGCTCAGTCTCTCCAGGATATAATGATACACTCAGAGTAACATTGAAAGACTGCAGTGTGCACAAGGCTGTGTAGCTTGTTAGTTAGCTAACACGAAATGTAGGCTACTTATAAACTTGTTTTGCCGCAGTAAATGTCATCAATATATTCACATAACACTTATATATAAGTGTTATGTGAATATATTATGTGTATACATATATATACACCCAGATATTACAACACCTGTATTAACAGTATAAACACTAAAACAACAACAAAAAATACATTTCTTGTGATGTCTATACATGTTTGCCTTTGTCTTGATGTAGGTGGCTCCCCTTGGCATATCTGTACACAGTATACAGTGTGGCTGGGATATCACTGGAAAGTAACAAATATATATACACACGCATATATGTAAATATCCAAATTATTAAAGTCACCGTCACACCAACAGATTGTCATATGTTAATCAAAGTACAGCTTGAGAAGGTCACTGTCAATTAAAACTGAAACCTCTATAGACACCTAGAACTATCACATCTTTAGGACAAGTTAACATGTTATAAAAGTATTATCCTATCCTATCCTATTCTATCCCGCAAGGGGAAATTCTGTTTTTACACTCTGTAAGTCACACATAGGCTGAAATATACACACATGCACAAACAGGATCCTATGGACATGCACTAATAGAGAGATGCCAGAGTGACGGAGCTCCTGAGGTGGGAAGCAGGTTTGGTGCCTTGCTCAAGGGCTTTTTGTAAAGTGTCTCGAGATAACACTTGTTATGAATTTGCTATAAAAATAAAGATTGATTGATGATCAGTTATTGCTCAGACACAACATACAGAGTCATTTTAATCCATCCATCAAAGCTTTTATGACAACAAACAAGGAGAGACCCAAAGATGAAACTCCAGTTAGAAAAAAAATAATATACTGTATATACTCACACATATTTAAATGTCCCCCTTTTTTATGGGATGTCCAAGGCACATAATACACAAATCAAGAAATTTCAAGAGAGCAGTCTACTGACTATGATATGTGATTAATATGTGATTTATTAAAAAAATGAAAGAGTGTGTGATTGTGTCTCTTATTGTGGTATAACTTGATAATCTGGAGTAATGTTTTTTTGTCTCTATTTTTTTCGCAGACATTAAAGATCTGTATTATAGCATTTGAAAAAAAGTTATTAGAAAATCTGTGTTCACACTGTAAGTGCGTTCTGTCCTCTGCTCTGTAGATGTATCTGTGAGCCTGTTGTCCTTGCTGGTGACCACCTGTGGTCTGGCTCTCTTCAGCGTCTCAGTCTTTGTGTCATGGAAGTTGTGCTGGGTGCCACTGAGTGGCCGCTTTCTCCCAGATGTCCTCAAGGGGGCTCACTTCCTGGGAGGAGACCAACAACCAGTCCTAACAGAGGTATCTTTAATGCATTAGAATTTTGAGAGAGGGATCTGAAACAGATATGTGTTGAAATTGTAAAAAAAGTGTAATCAGCCACGTAACGCAAACATGTGAGGCCCCCCCCTGCAGCCTGTCCTCCAGTCCACAGATGAGCCTTCCAAGGATACAAACCTCCAGAGTCAGTTAATGTGAGAGAGATCTTACATTTCCTGTAACACAGTACAGATGGTTTGTACTGTCGGCTGTTAACGAGTGGATCAATGGAGCCTTGGCTGAATGGGTCTTTTCCAATATTGATGAAATGCAACATCAATATTCCCACAAGTTGTATTGTCTTTTATATGAGTAAAAAGAAGTGAAATAAAGTTTAAAAATAAACAAAAACAAAAAAAACACCACAGCCTGTTGCCAATTGAGGTGTATACATGCAGTGGTATATCAACCTCAAACCTCATTATCAACGTGTGTTAGTTAGATTTCAAGAAATCTGAGTAAGCATAATTTTTAGTAAGACTAATGCAATAAAATTGTTTTTATCCGTTTTCTTATTACAATTTTTTAAGATCTGCAATTTAATTTTTAGTTGCAAAGTTTTGCATTTTCACTGTAGGTTTCACTTACACCCTAAACACCAATGTCTGATGTGCAGGTGGATGGAGACGAAAGGGAGTACAGTGAAGATGGTTGTGTGAAGGAGCCCATTGGGCCACCCCCATCTATTGCTGTACCAGAGTCGGCCCTGAAGATTAGCCACACATCGCCTGATATCCCACTGGAGGCTCAGGCCAAGTTGGAGATAAACCAGATCCACACTCTGGCCAGGGACAGGGTTCAAAGGCAAATTACTGAGCCCACCTCCTCTGTACGGTCAGTAAAGATATCCTCACAACTACCGTCATGCTTTTGTGTAGCAGGTCAAACATCAATTAAAACAGAAATATAGAAATTATATTCAATTAGAACTCTAAATTTAGAGTTCCTTTACCACAGTTTGGACCACATACGTATTAAGATTATGGTCAGTAAAAATGATTTGAATAAACTTGTATCTCCAAATTCTACTTTTTGGCAGGCACAACTCCCTTCGTCGTCAGTTGAACTTGTCGAATCCAGACTTCAATCCTGCTCAGTTCCAGCGTCAGGAGTCTCTCTCTGGTTTGGGCAGAATCAAACCAGAACTCTACAAGCAGCGCTCTGTGGATGCTGAAGACGGTCGTCACTCTGACAGCTGTGGGCGTCTGCACTTTGTCCTGAAGTTTGACTTTGACTTGGAACAACTGATAGTGAAAATCCACAAGGCCCAGGACCTCCCAGCCAAGGACTTTACAGGAACCTCAGATCCATATGTTAAGATCTACTTGTTGCCAGACCGCAAAAATAAACACCAGACAAAGGTGCACCGCAAGACACTCCACCCAGTGTTTGATGAGGTGTTTCTCTTTCCTGTGGAGTATGCTGAGCTGTCTAGCCGCAAACTGCATTTTAGCATATATGACTTTGACAGGTTCTCTCGCCATGATTTGATTGGCCAAGTGGTGGTGGACAACTTCCTGGATCTTGCCGACTTTCCCCGGGAGACAAAACTGTGCCGGGATATACAGTATGTAACCTTGGTGAGTTACTCATATTCCCTTAAATTCTATCCCAACCCATCTGTGTCTTGTTCTCATTAACCACACTGATATAAGTTTTTTTTTATTGAGCTATAATTTTCCTTGTCCATTGATAACCCCTCTCCAGCACCCCTTCCCTCCAATAAAAAAGGAGAAATAAACTAACTAACCCTATTACAACAACAATGGAGTTAGAGAAGAATTTTGGTTGACTTGTTTCTCATTGACCCGCCAAGTGGAACTCATCTGAGGTTTCAGGAAGCAGAGACATAGAAATATACTTAGACACAGTTAATTTTTAATGAAAGCAGTGGGAAACACTTGGGGATAGTGACCCAGATCTACACTGACATTAGACCAGGATTGGTATGACAGAGATACAGCGACATCGTCTGTATGACATTATTCACTTGGATAAATCTACAGTGTTGGAACACTGTGTATCTCAGTAAATAAGTAAGATTCCCTGCCAGGGAATCCTCTTGGTATACCTGTCTTTTCAAGTGGAGATTGCAGTCAGATAGGTCTCAGTATGTGAAAGAAAGTGTTCTTTTTCTTTTATGGGCAAACAGTTGCATTTGACTGTATAAAGTGGAGATAAACATGATCAAATATGTTATATGTGTGATATAAGAGCAGATTAACTATTGAATTCAATATGTTTATGTTAAATGTCATAAGCTATGTTCAAGATACATTACTCAATGAACAACATATTTTTGAAAAAATCTCACACAGCAGTTCTTCAACCATGTTTTTCCAGACATTGATGTCACGAAAGCTTCAATTTTAATTAATTCAGATGTCTACATAGGCTGCATTGAAGGTGCTATTGTATTGAAGCGTCCAATCTCTTTCTTTATAATGTGTATATGGTACATTTTATAACCTCAGTGGCAAAAGGTTTGAGTTTAAAAGTGTGGCAAAAATCGTAGTAAATGCAAATAGTTGACATTGTTTTCCACAATCAGGTTTCTAATTTATAGAGTTGTTGGAATATACAAGTAATAGAGAGCTGGAGCTAAAATAGATTAAACAACATAAAAACATCATACTGTAGTCATTTTCACATATTATATTATACATGTTTCATGTTGGTGCTTTTTATTAGTAAATCTGGATGCTTGGTTGGAAAAGCATAATGTTCTGAAGAAAATATGAACAGTGGCACTTTCATTGCTTATAACATAGACTGATATATATCATACTATATTACATCGGATTATGTAAAAAAAAATCTGTCCACATAAACTGAGGATATAATATTGCACCAAACTACTTCACTCATTTAGATAACCAGTGTCAGAAATAAAACATCTGAAATAGCCTCTTAGTTGTCAAGATTAAAGAAAACGTCTGAGCTGTCCTCATCTTGGAAAGAACTACAAACTGATGACAAAAGTGCATACTGTGACATAAGACTAGAAGTAACCAGTGTGGAAAAAGATCTCTCTGTTCCACTTATTTTTCATATTCTTCACTTGTCTAGAGGACTGTAACTTAAAGTTGGCTCTTCATCCAACATTTACCTTTCTATAAATTGGTAAATGTGTCTATGGATGTTGTATCCTTTGTTCAGGTGTGTCATTTGACTTTAGCTAAGAGAGCCCTTAAAATGTTTCAAAGCAATAGAAATCTCATCACCAAATGTTTCAGGAGCTCACATGGTGCCTGTTCTTTTAGAGACTTTGCAGCATACAACAACAACAACACAGCTTCTTTTCATCATGTAGCAAAGTTCAAAAACAGAATATTATGGTTTGCCTCTTAATACACACACACACACACACACACACACACACACACACACACACACACACACACACACACACACACACACACACACATGCATGCAAAGAAAGGGAGACTTGTTGTTTGCTTAGAATTACTGTTCCAACACCTTCCACACTTACCAGCTAAATAAGGTCAGTGTAAATGGGTTAGAACCTCCTCTGAGATACCCAGCTTGTGATCTATTGCCATCCTGTCTCCTGAGGTAACATCTCTTGAGTACACTCACTAAATATAATCTTTAATTAATCATCAATTTACCCAACACAAACTGAAATCAGCAATGCAAACTACTGGACATGTTATTCCTTTTCCTCAGGCAGCTTGTGGATGTATTCTTTTAGAAGAGGGAGAATACACTCACATTAGGCAGTCTTAGTTTCAGTTGGGTTTTAACTTTTGTTCTGGCATTGTACCAAAACTTCACTCAGTATTCCTAAAAATCCAAACCTCCTCATCTGTATCCTTACCCCCATTGTCACACACGTACATTTTCTATGGATGTATCAAATAATAAAATAAATGAGGTATTTAGTTATGATTAAATAAACTTAAAGGAAATGGAGGGTGGGGTTATCACTATGTATCAAGTTGTGTGTCACAAAAAAGTTGCATTATGTCCCCTTGAACCCTTTGCTTTTGCTTCTCTAAAACCCTAAATACTGCATAATGCATGTCCAAATACATCAGATTATTAACTTATTATTTACCAATGTAGATCTAATCATGCTAGCACTGTTATGCTAACAGTGATAAAGACCAACACGTTTTTTTTTGTACTGGACTGCAGGCATATAATATGTGCCAAATAATAACTGAACAATAAGTGTTGTTATCATTTTAGTCCCAGTTCTATTCAAACTAGTTCTTCTGTAAGTGAGGTCTTAAAATAGCCTATTAAAAAATAAAATAATAATAAAAGTGTTATATATCTTTCTTTTACCATTCCATAAAAAAACTAGGCTACCTCTCTTGGGATTATAAGGGGGGGACAGGGTGTGTGTGTGTGTGTGTGTGTGTGTGTGTGTGTGTGTGGGGGGGGGGGGTCAAGTCTCCAGTCTGTGTGCATTAATCATAACTACTGGTACAGAGTGAGCCTCAAACACTCACAGCCATATGTACTGTAATATACACATATGAGCTGCATGCTGGTAGATAAATCAATAAGCTGTTTCCTGTTGTGCATAACTAGGTGAACTGAGATTTTCCTAACATAAATAGTGTCTGAACTGGTTACTGTCTTGTCATTAGTTGTTAAGAGATTTAGAATTAGTACGGGCCTTCAATTCGAGGATTGCCATGGCAAGATTCTTTCTCTTTCCATGCTGAAACCATTACTCCCTATAGTGATGTACCACACACCAAGAGATAATGTAACCATACTTCAGAGTCCTTATGTTTCTCTGCCAGGGCAGGAATACAGCTTGACTCTGAT